GTGTAGGGGCACTTTGGCAATCCCACCCCAGGTTTAGGCTTCTAACCCCTGAATCATCACTGCTCTTTCCCGCCCCCTTGTGTCAGGATGACTCACTGACTTCCCAGTCCCTAGGGCCCTGGACTCCAGAACTTCCTACAGGTGGCGGTAGGTCCAGATGGGATAACCAGGTCAACACAGTCTGATTATTTGTTGGTCCTCCCAAGTAGCCCAATGCCTTAATAAAGTCAAAATGATTATGATTCCTGGGAACTACTCTTTGGAATTTCAGGCATGATGGGAATGAGGGGGGAGAAGTAGATGGTGATAAGGGGACTTTGGACACTTCTCAGACCATGCAGTGATGTGGATGGCTGTGCAGCAAGAACTGTTGGTTCCCCCTCCTAAGGACTTGTCTGACTACAGGATCCTACAACGAGCCTAAAAGTGCTGAATGTGACTGTCTGACTTCTTAGCTACTCTTTTTGAGGCTACCCTTTTGAAGATTACCCATGTCTCATTTCATGTAGATTTAATTCTTTTCTGAATGTCCAGTAAGCACAGTCCCAGCTCCTGGGGATATAGCAATAAACACATCAAAGTCCCAGTCTTCTGAGCTAATTTCTAAAAGGGAGATTGGTAATAAATAAATATATAAGGCCAGGCACAGTGGCTCACACTTGTAATCCCAGCACTTTGGAAGGCCGAGGAGGGAGGATTGTTTGAGCCTAGGAGTTCAAAAGCAGCCTAGGCAACATAGCAAGACCGCATCTCAATAAATAAATACATGTAACACAAGCTCAGGTATTGATAAAGGTCATGAAAACAAACAAAGCAGAAAAGGTTGATCTGTTAGAGGGACCAGGAAACTCCTCTCTGAGCAGGTGGCATTTGAGCAGAGATGTGAATGGAGTAAGGAAGTGAGCTGTGGGAGAAAAGCCTTCCAAACAGAGCAGCGAGCCCAAATACTTGTATAGGGTGTATGCCTGGTATGTTTGAGGCAGTGAGGAGGCCACTGTTGGGCCATGTGGAATTTTGGAGAACAAATAATGAGCTCTAGTCTTTTTCTTTAGTACTCTCTGCATACAATGATAATCATATGTCTCATATTCCAAGAAGAATCCCAATTTTATAAATTTTATCCTTCTTTTTTTTTTTAGTTGACGTCTCACTCTGTCGCCCAGGCTGGAGTGCAGTGGTATGCTCACGGCCACCGCAGCCTTGACCTGCTGGGCTCAGGTGATCCTTCCACCTCAGCCTTCCAAGTAGCTGGAACTACAGGTGTGTGCCACCACACCTGGATATATATATATATATATATATTTTTTTTTTTTTTTAATTGTAGAGACGAGGCCTCGCCAAGTTGCCCAGGCTGGTCTCAAACCCCTGAGCTCAGGCAGTCCTCTTGCCTCTGCCTCACAAAATGCTGGGATTACAGGCATGAGCCACTGTGCCTGGCTTTTTCTTTTAAAATGATTCATTGAAGTTGTAACAAAATGTGACTTGATAGGTATACTCTTGAAAGATTTTCCCTAATAAGTATAAATTCGGATATCAGGAAGAATGTCCTTTGTCATCTGTCTCAATTTGGGTTTCCTAAAATAAATGTTTAAGGAGTCGTGTGTTTGATCTTTAACTTAGGCTTCTCCTTCCAGTTCTTGGCAATCCTGTGGAGTAAGAGCATTGATGTCAAGTGAGAACAGACAGACATTCCAACTAGTCCAAAGAAAAATCTACAAGTTAGTTGAATTTCTCAAATTTAGATAGATTTAATGTCAACCAAGAAGAGGGCGCTAGGGGAGTAAAATACTGTCTTGGAGGAATTTCTGTTGCTTGTACCTTGGCAACAGCTCCATGGAAACAGGCTGACGTCTAATAAAGTCTGTAGCAAATGCCCATATTTTCTCATGTTAACTCTTTGAACTCAAGGTCATTTCTAAGCAGTTAATCTGCAAGTCGGTCTTTTGACACTAGCCCAGCTGGCAGCTTATGGAGCTTATCCATCATCAGTCCTTGTCTGTGAAGGACTCCACCATTCATGAAGTAGATTCATACAGCAGATTGGTACATCCATAAAATTATGAGTAATATCACAAGACTGACCTTGATTATGTCAGGATGAAACACACAAAGCCACATATGGCTAGGCATCACAAATCTGATGCATGCCCCTGGCCTGATTGCACCCACCCATATTGCCAGTTCACAGTGTTGAAATGAAGAACAAGATGAGTTGTAAAAGCATGAAACACCTTCTAACACAAATCCTGCAACTACAGTAAACCACAGTTTCAAAATTGCATTCTTGCTGCCCAATCTGTCTGTGGCTCATAGTCAGATAACTGCAATTTCTTAGGGACGTTACCTTTGAACATAAGTTCACTCAGGAAGCATTTATTAAATGCCTATTGGGCACTAGGTAGTGCCAGAGAGATAAGAGAAAAATGAGCATATCTCTCCCTGCCTTTAAGGAGATCCTCAAAAGGAAGCTTTTTGTAAATAGAAAATTATAGAACTGTGAACAGGAGCGCTGGGGACACAAAAGAAGGAGCAGTCAACTGCAGCTATGCAGTCGATGAGAGAAACATTGTGGAAGTAGTATTGGAGTTATTTTGACATTTCCTGGAGTTGTGACCCCAATTACTCTGGTATCTCCTCCCTGTATTCCCCCATCTATCAATGGTATAGAAACTCCCATTCAGGGCTCACACTAGGCAAAAATATCAAGTAGACTAAATCTTTCTTCATAATCTCATATCCTTTCCCTGTCAATGTCCCTTGAAGCTCAGGAATGTCCAGTCAGGGTCCTGGCAGGAAATAGCCTTTACCCCAGATGGGGCACATGGAGAGACCTTAGTGAAGGGACTCCCTGCAGAGATATGGTCAAGGTTAAGGAAACAAAGAAGGCTGATGGGCACCAAGTGGCTAGCCACTGTGGGAGTCTTTCACCCCTAGGGTCGAAGGGATAAGAATAGCCCGTAGAGTTACTGAAGTCCAGTGAGAGCTAGAACCATAAAGAAGGGGCTATTCAGGAAAGACTGTATCATGGAAGGACACAGCTGCTGCCAGGGACATTACAGAAGGAGGGGAAGGAGCAAGAAAAGACATATTCCAGCCTCTCCTTCTTCCCTGAACACTGATCTCTCTCTTCTCAACGTCTCCCATTGGGTGAACCCAAGCAGAAATCAGCCTGCACAAGAGACTGGGCGATGCAGTCTAGCAGTCAGCCTCCAGGACAAAAACAGGACAGAGAAGGCCAGAGTCTAAGGAGTCACCAGCACAGATGGCCTTTTCTTCCCTTTATGACTTATTTCCCACTTCACCAATTATCCAAGTGACAAGTCTTCACATACAAAGGTACAGTGACATCTATCGTGGAAAGGCCGTAGACTGAAGACCAGAAGACCTGAGATCTACTTCAGATTGCTCATCATGTGAGTATGGTCAGTCTCTTGACACCTAGAGAAAAGTCTAGGCCTCATCGTTAAACGGGAATATTTTCTTATCACAAATGGCTGGTGAAACTGTCACTTGGGATAATATGTTTAAGGAATATTGGTTCATATTATTGAAGAATTCTTTGAGAATCACACAGAGGTAAGATAAAAGATTTTTAACTTCTAAACATATTACCCTTCATCCTAAGTGAACTAATTCAGGAACAGAAAACCAAACACCGCATGTTCTCACTTAAAAGTGGGAGCTAAACTAAGGATCTGCAGAGACATAGCGAATGGTATAATGGGGACACTGGAGATTCAGAATGGGGGTGGGGTGGGGAGAAGGGATGGAGGGATGAAAAATCACCTATCTGGTACAATGTGCACAGGTGGGGGTGGTGGGTACACTTAAAGACCAGACCAACAACTATTTGTATCCCCTAAAGCTATTGAAATAAAGAAAAAAAAAAAACCACCCTTCCTTCCTCCCTTCCTCGGTCATCTTCTGCCTCTTACCCTCACCCCCAATCTTTCCCATAAATTACAACATTAAATTTTCATGGAAGCAGAAAATATAGCAGATAGACAAATTTTATTCACTGTCATATTTCCCAAAGTGCCTGGCATATAGTAGGCTGTCAATCAATGTTTGTAGAATTAATACATGGATTTATGTTTTTTAATTGATGTACATTTATGGGGTACAAGTGCAATTTTGTTAAGTGCATAGTTGCAAAGCGGTCAGGTTAGAACTTTAGGGTATCTATCACCCAAATAACGTTCACCATTAAATAATCGCATTGCCCATCCCTCCCACTCCCTCACCCTTCTGAGTCTCCATGGTCTACTGATGCACTCACTATGTCCATGGATGATCTAAAAGAGCTCCTTCTTATCATGTTCATCAGTCACCACCTACGGCAATGGCCAAGTCTGAGTTCTGGACACTGCCTGCCAACACCCTTACAAGAGCCAGCCCCCAGCTTTAAGAGCAGTTGCTTAGGGCAGAGGAGCCTAGTACTTCCAGCCTATGGGCCTTCTCATGTATTTGAGGCAACAGAAGGCATGTGATTCGCGCGTCTCACAGGTTCTCAAAACAAGAAAAATTCTTCCTCAAAACAAGAAAAATTCTTCCTTCTACTCACCCAGTAGACAAGCCCAGAGCTGTGGTTTTATCTTTCTTGGGTCTTTTGTTACTGGTAGGGTTTGTGGTGAGGAGAAAAAACATAAATAAACCTGAACAATAGATCTGCCCCACTGTTCAGGGCCCCTGAAACTGACTGTTAGAAAGGAGGAAAAACATTAGTAAAAGAAAGGGTATGAGCAGAAAAGAAGGGAAACAATACTTACAGAGAAAGTGAGGAAATTGTGGGGAGCCTTTCCAGAATGGCTTCCACCTCCTCAGAAGGTGGAAACCGCTACAAACAGGAATTGGAGGGCTGTTCCACGGCTCTTACAGGTCCTGAGTGTTCTGTCCCTGGTTTCTACATTTTTTTCACCACAAGTTTTAGGAGGAAAAGCTGTTCCTCCTGGGCTGCGTCAGCTTTGGAGTTAGGAGCAAAGAGAACTTCAGGTACTCACGGGCACTGGTGTGCTTCATCATGAATACAATGATGAGAGGAAAGAGGAACACCATCAGTTTCCCTGAAGTCCTTCTCTTTCTGGATTCTTTTAACCAAAACATTGGCAGGTCCCTGTTAATCCTTTTGAGAACCTCTTGGGTGATTTAGCAACAGAGTGACACACGCAGAGCCCTCTCCCAATAAGACCAGGAAAACTATGATTGTCAACAGTTGCTAGGTAGAATACAGACACAAACTGAAAGCACTGAGTCCCTTCCTGGTAACTTTTAACCCTTTGTTGGCTTCAGACACTGCTTGCTCCTTGTGGTGTGCTCGTCTTCACCCCGTTTCCAACTTTTATTTATAGAGCACAGTTGTGTTCAAGGCACAGGGAAACAGATTAATAATGTCTGGATAATCAGGGAACTCTCGTTGAAGAACTTGCTTTTTCCCCGGAGCTGAGATCTTTGCCCCAGCTTCAGTGGGAGAGTCACATAAAGTTTCCAGGGTTTGGAATTCCCTGCTCCCTACAATGCCATAGTCCCTATGCCTGAGATAGCAGGTATCACTTAGATTGTCCTGTAATCTTTAGCTTGAGTCTGTCTTCCATGCTGCCCTAGCACCCAACATAATAAGCTAAAAAAAAATAAATAAAGGGCAAGAGAAAGGCCTAAGAGAAGATTCTGAGGGGCAGCATTCTTGGTTTGCTCAATTAGCAATCTCCAGGATCAAGCTGTGGTTACACTGTCATCAGGAAGAGTGCATGATGAGTTAGAAAACAGCAGCTTCAACTTGTCCCGAAAGTTGGGAAACAGATCCAGACAGGAAAGAGGAAGTAGAGATGAATGGGAGAGATGAAGACAGGCAAGACCAGGAGGTAGGCAGGCTTGAGCCAGGCCAGGGACCTGGGTTTGCATCCCGGCTATTTGATCTTGGGCAGAATCCCAAATTGCACTGGGTTTCTTCAACTTTAAAAGCAAATCCCTACCAGGCTTGGGGGCTCAGCCTGTAATCACTCTGGGAGGCTGAGGGGAGTGGATTGCCTGGTCCCATGGGTTCAAAACTAGCCCGGGCAACTTGGCGAGACCTCATTTCTACAATTAAAAAAAAAAAATTAGCCGGGCATGGTAGAGAGAGCCTGTTGTTCCGGCTACTTGGAAGGCTGGGGCGGAAGGATCACCAGAGCCCAGCAGGAGACGCCGGGGGGACTGTGAGTGTGCCACAGACTCCAACTCAAAAAAAAAAAAGCAAATCCCAGTTGAGGTATGGTAGCTCACACCTGTAATCCCAGCACTTTGGAAGGGTGAGAGGTGAGAGGATTGCCTGAGCCCAAGCATTTGAGACCAGCCTAGGCAGCAACATAATGAGACCTCATCCCTCCAAAAATATTTAAAAATTAGCCACACATGGTGGCACATGCCTTTAATCCCAGCTGCTCAGGAGGCTGAAGTGGAAGGATCGCCTGTGCCCAGAAGGTTGAGGATGTGGTGAGCTGTGTTCACTCCATTGTACTCTAGCCTGGGCAACACAGTGAGACTCCTATTCAAAAAAACAAAGAAAAGAAAGAAAAAGAAAAAGAAAATCTTGCCATACATTTCATATATTGTTGAAGAATTAGATGAGTCTGTTTATTATGCACTTAGTAAGTGGTAGAACCATACATTTCAGTTTTCTTCTGTGGTAGGCTGAGAATGATCTGCCCTGAATATGTCCACATCCTAATCCCTAGAGCCTATGAATATGTTACCCAAGACAGAAAAAATGACTTTGCAGATGTAACTAAATTAAGGATCTTGAGATAGGGGGATGATCCTGGATTATCTCGTGGACCCAATATAATCACAAGGGTCCTTACTACAGAAAGGCAAAAGGTCAGAGCCAGAGAAGGAGGTGGGACAATGGAAGCAGAGGTTACAGTGACACCATTGCTAAAAGGGAGGCAGGAGCCAAGGAATGCAGACAGCCTCTAGAGCTAGAAGAGAGAAAGAACAGATTCTCCTCAGAGCCTCCAGAAGGAATGCAACCCTGCCAACACATTGATTTTAGCCGATAAGACACATTTTTGGACTTCTGTCCTCCAGAACTGTAAAAGAATTCATTTGTGTTGTTTCAGGCCACTAGATTTATAGTAATTTGCTATGGCAGCAACAGGAAATAAATGTGTCTTCCTTTATCCAAAATAACAAAAATAAGCCAAATAATGAAATTAATATTTAGTAACCTCTCAGCACTTCCTGGCACTTCTAAGATCTTTGTATTTCTTTCTTCCTTTCCTTCCTCTATTCTTCTGTTTGTTATTCATTTGACAAATATGGGCACCCATGTGCCCCTTTCTTTTTTTTTGAGCTGGAGTCTCACTCTGTCGCCCAGACTCCAGACTGGAGTGCAGTGGCCGCTCCCGGCCACCGCAGCCTCGACCTGCTGGGCTCTGGCAATCCTTCTGCCTCAGCCCTCCGAGTAGTCGGAATTACAGGCATGTGCTACCACGCCCGGCTGATTTTTTGATTTATTGTAGAGATGAGGTCTTGCTGCCCAGGCGGGTCTCGAACCCGCGGGTTCAGGCAATCCACTCACCTCAGCCTCCCAAAGGCCATGTGCCCCTTTCAGAGACCTTCCCTCAATAGTGCCAGATGTGTCTTGCTAGCACTGGAGTTGTATGGCAGTGTAGAAGTTCCTTTGAATTTCTGCTAATATCTTGTTCCAAAAAATGCACACTATACCATGATCTGCAGCATTTGCATTAAAAAGTAGGTATATAAAAAAGTAGGTATGGTGACCATGTCATTTTATTCTAATTGCAAATTAATAAAATTGATCCAGAATACTTGGAAAATACACTACTGGTTATATATATATATATATATATATATATATATATATATATATATACACATATATATATATTTCTTTTGTTTTGTTTTGTTTTGAGTTGAAGTCTCACTCTGTTGCCCAGACTGGAGTGCGA